TTTCTTGAATATTAAGTTTCAAAGATCTAACAATGAACTGCAAAACTTTTTTTTACAGTTAAAAATAGTAAATCTTTATTTTTTTAGATATTAACAGAGCAGGCTCAGTTACCTCAACTTTTGGTTTGATGAGGTACATAAAAATAACTGAAAACTAAGTATTTTCGTGGGCACCCATGCAGACTGTCTATTCACAACAGAATGAAAGTACAACTTTCAAAAGATCTACTATATTGTCCTCATAATAATAATAATGATGATGATAATAGGGAGACAGACTAAGTTACATTGCAATCCAACATAAATTAGAAAGCCAGCTTATCTGGATACTAAGGCAGGAAAAATATCATGGTTTATATCATTATCTTAAATATGTTTTTAAAAAGTGCTTATCTACTCTAAAGATCAGGAATAATATTACATGCCAAGCCTCAATAATATATTCTTATATCTACATAATCTTGAAAAATAATCTATATCAGACTATGTGTGCAGTGTGAAAAGGACACTGAGTTAGGCAGACCTGGCTTTAAAACCTAATTTATTACTGGCTGCCCTTAAGGGCATGTCACTGAACATCTCTGAATCTCAGTTTCCTCATCTATGAATTGAGCATGGTAATCCTTGCACCTCGTGGTTCTTGTGAGGATTCAAAAAATACAATAAATATAAGGTGCACAGTGCGCCACTTGACATATTAAGAAGCACTTTATTTTGTCAGTGTCATGCCCATCCATACCCTATTACTCAATCTAGTATCTTGCAAATGGTCACAGGGGAGGTCAGGTAAGAGAGAATGATCAATAATCCAAAACACAGTTCTAAACCTTAAAAAGCATTCAAAGGGCACATGCAGAAGGAGTATCAGTACACACATCCTATACCCTATTATGCAACACAAATTATAGAAAAACATAGTAGTGAAACCAGAGTCATTCCCATAAAGGATGTGTAGAGCCATAAAGAATTAGCAAATCAAAACTTGTTTTTTAGAATAGCAAATAAAGGCACAGGTTAGAACCTCAGTTTTTGCTGTACAAGGAAGGCACTGGGTGGTCTACTCCTAAGGGGTTGCTACCCCAAAATTCTATGATTCTAATATAATGGGTTTAATGCCACTTGACTTATTTTTAAACCTATTAAATTACTCTGCTCCTTACAAAAAAAGCCAAACCACCATTGTGAATTGTACTACAATAGTAAGGCTGTTTGAAAACACACACATACATACAAATACACACACATACACAATTAAATGATTCTACTCAACAAATGCCTTTAAGGAGAGATCAATTTTTTTTTTCACACCATAACCATGAACTCAAACTGTTACGGACAGAAATTAATTCAGGATGCTGACCATTTGAATTTTCTCTGTGATACAAAAAGCACCCGTTGGATCAATTTTTTTTCTCCCTGAATTTACTAAATTGATGTGTCATTTTGGTGTGTTATGTGGATAGAGGTTAACTAACCTGTATGAACATCAAAAAATGTTTCTCCTCTTCCAAAAATGACCACGACAGGGATGTGGTGCATTTTACTGCTGCTCTTAATTGTTCAAACACCCATTCATTTGGCAATCTTTAACAAACACTGAACACCTAAGTAAAACTAAACAGTTACAGAGGAAAAAAGCTCAACTTTTAAACTAAGAGAGGAAGATGTAGTATCCATCACAGACGAACTGTAAATACATGTAACAGATGTGACCAGGGCTGTTCTTGAGTATAGATCATTTTAGTGGCCCAACTTGAAAACTACTTTTTAAGAAGATGCCAAAGCTAGTATGTTTCTCTTTTGCTCATAAAACACTCAAAGGTAACCAAATAAACTGCATTTTTGTTATAATAGAAAATTAACCCCCGTTCATCAATAAATTATAGACTGTAGGTGCATTTTTTTTTCTTTTGGTGACTTTGCCACCCTACTTTTTAACAAGAATATTTTCCAATCATCCAGGCATATGTATGCTTTTAGTTTGTTTTAAGATCAATGATATAACGGTTATTAAATCCCTTTGTATAAGTTACCATATAGGTTACAACTATTTCTTAAAAATAATTCCAGAGCCCACCAATTCATTCTGTTAAGGTCATCGAAGCTCTGAACCATCATGGCTGAATTGTTTTAGTGCTCTCTGCTGAACACCTGCAAACATCAAACAAAAACTGCTGGTCCTTTCCTGGGTTGACAAAAGCCTTTCATGTGAAAAATGCTCCCTGGGAATGTCAGGCTGTAGCTCAGGTTACATTCCATTCTCCCTAGCAGCCTCACCATTTCTTAAGGTGGTAGGGAAAACCATGTTGGTGAAATGAAAGATTAAAGGGAATATGGCCACACTTCATTTTCATTCCCACATTGCAAATCACGATGGAGCATCCTATATTAATCGACTCAAAGGCTATTGGGAACTTTAAGCATGAAATATCACCATGCCTCACTTTGAAGAAATATGGCTGGTTTTGCAAATATGAATAGTTTACTTACTTATACTTTGGGTCTTTTTTTCTTAGACCCATATTTCAAAGCTACCCATGAAAGGGACATCTGAGCCCACTCAAGACAACGGATATTAACCTTTAGTAAATTTAGAAAATCATTTCTCTGTCCAAAGTTTCCTAGCTCATCCTTCCAGTTAATGGGCAAAGTGTAGTTTTCCTGATTTTTCTATTTGATATTCTTTAAAAGAGATTTATCTTTGTTGTAGAGTGGAAATATAAGCCATTTTTTTCACTAATAGCCCTGTGTTCAAATATGTCTTGAATAGATGAGAAAAACCAACACTACAATCTGTACTCCATATATTATAGTCACCATCATACTGCATTGGATGAATACCCTGCATTTTCAATCCAGCTGCCAGAACAAAATAGCCGCAACACTTTTTTACCTTTACAAGTAAACACTGGGGCCTGAAAACTGCAACTGTGGTACATTGTAACTTAAAGTTCAACACCTTAAAATAATCACAGCATCTTCATTAGAAATATCATTAACACGTATTACTAAGGATGAAGTCTCTTCTAGGATTATGCGTGTGTGTGTGCTTGTGTGTGTGTGTGTGTGTGTGTGTGTATTTATCTTAAGAACTGTGTAAGTTCAATATATAATCACTTACTAAAATGCATTAATACATATTCATACTTATCCAGCCTGTACTCTCTGTAAACACTTAAACATCATAGCAAGGACTTTATTTAAATGTGAACACAGAAAAGGGACCAGATGCACAGTTGTCTTTTTAAATGTAACACAATTTCATGCTTCTAAATCACTTTACTTTATTAAACCATACCTAAACTGATACACTTAAGTTATTCCAAATGTGTCAGTTTTCACAGAGTGCAAAAGAGTTTTTTGCACTTTGAAAGCAGTCTATCTCTGGGCCTTTCTGACATAATCTACTTTTAGATTTAAGCTGAATACATATTTTCTTAAGTAAAATCATGAAGAAAATTACTGTCAGAGATAAAGTTGGTTACTGTTTTGATACTGTCTAACATGAAAAATTAATTTGTCCACAAGAGATACTTGTACCGATCTTCACTTCAAAGTTGTGTAAAGAATACAACACCAAAATTCGGAAGATATAATACTAAGACAACAAAAAAATGTTAAGTCCCTAAATGGAAAATATAACAGGGTCCAGGACAGCAAAACACAAATATATGTTCAATAGTACTTTTAATCAAAGTGAACCCCAAAATTTAAAGGATAAAATAGATCTATAGGAAGCATCTTATATTCTCTATTACTATAAATCAAATTATAGAGATTTAACTTAGTCTTATGGGGGCCAGAAGAAGGAGAAGTAACTTATTTGGAAATGAGCAACTTTTAAAAGCCACTAATTTTATAGAAGCATACCAATTATACAAATCACAAAGGTGAACAGATTTCTTTCATTGCCAGAGCATCAAATGAAAATTAAGAGATGTGAAATTATATTCAATAGTTAATAGAAAGTTCCACTGGCATCTCACAGCTAAAAGATGTCAACATTTACCAGTCTGACTTAAGAATGGTATTCTGTCTAATGTACTGTTATTTACCACTGCCAGAACTCCCAAAATACTACAGCTGCTTAAAAAGCATAAATGGATTTAAGCCTTAAACCTAAAGGATAGCAGGCAACCATGTATGCCTCCTTCCCATATGAAATTCACTAGACAAAAAAAAAAAAAAAAAAAACCCCACCATTTTAAGTGAATATCATATTTTCAGTTTTCACTTTAATAAGAGACCTTCAGGGAGTCCCCTATTAAAACTCCTCCTTAGATGCCAGATAATCACTGCGCACACAGATTCCTTTGTGAATAGCGCTAACGTCTTTTTTTAAGCATCACCCAAAGACCTTTCATTTATAAAATGTAAAAGTCCTTCCAAATTTGCAACTTTAAATATAGCAAAAATTCACTGCACAAGGAAATGCTTAGGGAAAAAAATAGCTAAAACACCAAAAAGAATATTTTAAAGATAAATGAATTCATATTTTGCTCTTAGAGAGCAAGAGGCTTTCTATTTACAGCTATGGTTTACAATGCAGCATTCATCTGCAAAGTTAAGTGCTCACTTCTTTAACAGGGTTAATTATATATAGTACCTAATAATTAATATTATTTACAAGGGATTTTCCCTTTTTTTGAAAGTTAGATTTTTCCCTCTATTTTCAAATAGGGAAATAAATTCATTTTCCCCATGTCAACACTGGCCTTATCTTCACGTGTTTGATTACAACTGCATTAGAAAATTGCTTTTAAATTAAGTAATGGAATTCTGAGACAGTTTCCTTGATTGATAAAAAGGCCTAATTTTAATTTTGCAAAAGATAACATTTTGTGTAAGTTATTCTACTGATGGCTAATGAAATAACCATATCATTACAAGCTAAAATTTCAATGACTTTTTCAAAACACTTCAACAGAGCCAAAAATACACAACGAGTGAATAAACAGCTAAGAACATTTAACTACACGCTAAGAAAAGAATTTACATACTTGAGCCAGTAAAATGTCCACTCGCCAAAGAAGTTGGTCCATTTTTCCCACTGCTCACAGGAGGTGAAAACATCTACAAGAAACAAAGAAATATTATTGTCAAAAAGAAGACATTTGTGCCTTCAGAGTTTGTCAAAGATCTTCCATACTCTTACCAAATAGCTTAAGAGTTTATGCTAAGGGTTCATTTGAGTAAAACACATCACCATCCAACTTAAAACTAAAACAAGCATAACATTACCAGTCACCCCCCCCCCCTTTACCACTCTGTCCTTTCTTTTTCCTCAGGTTCCTTCGATTGCCAGCACTAGGCAAGACTGCTACACTTTAAACAAACACAGTCCCCATAGTGTTATCGGGATTCAAGCTGGAGGGCAGCGGCCTCTCTAGAAAACACTAGTTTTACAAAGGAGAAGAACAAAGTTGTTTGTTGTATATTGAAAACCTTGGCCATAATCGTGGCAATGTCCATTTCCATCCCGTATAGGATTTGCCTGTCATATGTGAACCCAAATAAATAGAAAAGTGCCACCTGCACTAAATTCTCATTTCGCCTCTAACATGAGAGCAATTTGTAGCAAGACTCTCTCTCTCTCTCTCTCTCTCTCACTCTCTCACACTCTCTCTCTCTCCCTCTCTCACTCTCTCTCTCTCTCTCTCTCCAGCATTTATTTCGACCCTAATTGGTTTCCCTCTTCTTCGACGTATCTAGTGGATAATGCGCACCTTCCCTGAGTCAGAGCCTGCAAAAAGCAAAGGAACGAATGGAGAAAGTGCAGCAAGCAGAAAGGGGGCTACAGAGCTGCCTAGGGCTACGTTTCCTGGCAAAACTTCCGAAAGCCATTTCTCCAGAAGAAGGTCCAGAAGAGCAGCAGCGGCAGCGGCGGCGGGGGGCGGCGGCGGCGGCGGCAGCGGCAGCACCAGCAGCACCAGCAGCACCAGCAGCAGCGGCGGCGGCAGCAACATCAAAGAGCCCCGCTTAGAAGGCGGTTTGGATTTTATTTGTGTGTTTTGTGGATCCTTTTTATTTTGCTTTGCAAATGCATCTTACGCCAAACTCATCTGGCGTTAAGAAGGAATTAACTCCCCTGACAGGTCTGGGACTTGGTTTGGGGAAAGGGGGAGGCAAAGGGATGGAGAGGGACCAACTACAAGCCGTAAAACTCCACAAGTGTGTAAGTTTTGCTTTGTGCTGAGCTCACGGCTGTGCCACTTACCAAGACAGTCTAAAGGATTCTAGAGACTGTCTGATGCTCAGCACACATATACGAGTTCCCAGAATCCTAGGAAAAGATGGAACCAAGAGGACTACAGGTCCTACGAACCCAAAGCATCATCAATTTAAAACTTTAAGAGACAACTGGGTCTCCTATTTTCTCTTTTCCATTTCCAGAAAAAAAAAATCAAATCAAATCAAATCAAACGAGTAGTGCGCAAAGTATGAGTACTCTCATGTTCAGATAAGGCCAAGTTTTAGGGTTGTCTGTTTGTCCTTTCATTTGGGGTGAGATTCCATTATTTTGGAGGTCCGGTGGGTAGGGAATTCAAGGCAAGTAATTACACTCTGGGCGGGGGGGAAAGCCTGAATCGTCCATCACACCCAAAAATTGTAGTTAAAAACTTATCAAAAAGACCTTCATGTTTGCCAAGGATTCAGCCAATTAAAAATTATTCCCGTCCTTTAGACTACTATTGGTTTCTAGCTGAAGTGTTTGGGCTTTTTGTTTTGTTTTGTTTTGTTTCACAGCTGTTGTTAGTTTCCACCGTTCTTTCTTACCGCACTGAAATCCAGTAAATCACTCAGCTCTTTGTCCGTCCCTAAGGCAGCCATTCGCTGTTGGTGATGCATTTTAGCAAAATCACACAAACCTAGAAACATGGAAATAACCGCAATCAGAAAATCCAGTCCCAATCCTTGGAGAAAACACAATCGGATTTTTGGAGACTGGGGGGGTT